AACCCGGTTCAGGTTTTTGGCAAGACACCTTGCTTCTGTCAGGAGGTGCCGAGGCCGATGACTTCACATAGTGAGAGCTGGATCCCTCTCTCATAAAGTTCTCATCAGTCCAGCACCTTTGGGTCGTTTCTGTTTGCATTTCTCTCATTCCCGGTGAGGCTGAGTACTTTTTCTTACGTCGAGTTGCCAGTTGGGTTTCCGCTTTTGTGAGTTGCCTGTTCACCTGTCATGTTTGTTTTTGACCCGGTGTCACGAAGACATTCTCCTGTATCATCATCTATAATTCTGATATCTATAGAACAATTTAGGGAGAGCTGAAATCTTTATAAATACTGGAGTGAGTGTTCCAGTCTGTAGATAGAGTGAGTCTTTACATTTATTTAGGTCTTATTTAATATCTCGGTAATGTTGTTCCATTAACCCTTTTTGTTAGATTTTTTTTTTTTTCATCTTTGGGCACTTTTGTTAATGGTTTCTTTACTTTAAATATCAATCGTGTCGATCTGAGTATAATTAACATTTGTATATTGATTTTGTATCTAGCAACTTCAGTTCGCTTTCTTATTATTTCTAATAATCTATCTGTAGATTCTTTCTGATTTTCAGTTTATCATCAGCAAATGACCGTTCTGTTCATTCCTTCTCAATCCTTATCTTTCATTTCTTTTTATTGCCTTAGCACACTGGCTAGGACCTCCAGTACGATGTTGAGAAGAAGTAGGGATAGGTGGCATTCTCGTCTTCCTCTCGGTGACAAGGGTAAATTCAAAGTTTTGCCAAAAATGAAGGTATCGGTATGTTTTTCAGATCTCTAATTGATTTTAATTTTCAGGCAGGGTGAGAATAACTGAGTTAATGTATAGTTTTGGTAATTATTGATGATCGGTGGCTAGATAGATTTTTCATTAGGAGTCGGTAAAGGGTGATGAGCTAATTCCATAATTCTGCTTTCGTTAGCTGGACTTCTTTGATAAGGAAAGCATTTTCGTATCGACTGTTTGGTTCCCCTGAGGTACATTTCTCATGGGAAAGGCATGATTAATGCTTGTTTTTTTCCCCTTTATTTACCTTTTGTCAGAACGATGAGTTGGTTTCCTTACATCCTCCAAGAAGATCAATGAGTTTTGTTCAGTTTTTACTATTATTATGTACTCTCAAATGTAAATGTAGTCGATGGTATGTTGGTTTCCTATGGCTGCTGTGACAAATTACAAACCTCGTGGTTTGAAACAACAGAAATTAATTTTCTTCCCCTTCTAGAGGCCAGAAGTCTGAAATCACTTTCACAGGGCTGAGATCAAGGTGTCGACTGGACAGTGCTCCTCCCAGAGGCTCTAGGGGGGAATCCGTGGCTTGCCTCTTCCAGCTTCTGGTGGCTGCCACTGATCTTTGGCTTGTGACCACTTCACTTCAACTTTTGCCTCTGTAGTCACGTTGCCTTCTCTTCAGCGTCTAATCTCTCTCAGCCTCTCCTCTATAAGGATACCTGAGATTCTACTTAGGGCCCGCTTTGATAATCTCTTCATCTCAAAGTCCTTGATTTCGTCAGATCTATCAACTTTTTTTTTTTTTTTTCCATATAAGGTGACATTCACAGATTCCAGAGATTAGAACACGGATGTCCTTTGGGAGGCTGATATTCAGCCCACCACAGACGGCTTCCCTGTTTTGTGGCATGTCAAGATGTCTTGGACTTTCCAGCCCCAGAGCTGGTAGAAGTCATTTTACCAAGGAGCACCGGTTCCTTTTAGTAGGAAATTGTATTTAGAGACCACAGTCTGGTCCTAAGAGGTGTTCATGGCCATCAGGTTGACATTGCTATTAGGCATTTTTAGGTGGAAAGAGCCAGAAAGTAGACACATTTTTAGAAAGAGAAAAATGATGTCTGTGTTTATTCACTTCTTTCATTTGTATGTCTTTTCTCATACTGAAAAATCTTAGTTTCTAGTAATAGTAACATAATTCATAATGATTTATTTGCTTTATCCTAATAATGCCAATGTAATTACTAATAATGAGAGTATTGAATGAATTTAAGATTTCTTTGCAGGTCTTTTTGCCCTTAGGGTATATCCTGTTTGCTAAAATTGGAAAAAAAAGGTTTTTTCTCACTTGATATAATTCTCCAGTATGCCACCAACTTCAACGCATGGTCCCAGCCACACTCTGGGCTGACGGCATGGGATGTGGGAGGGAGGCTTTGCCAATACTTGAAGTCAAAGGGCTACAGTAGCCAACTGGCTAGCTAGCTTTCTTTTCCTTCCTCCCTCCCTCCCTCCCCTTTTCTTCCCTTTTTTCTTTTCTTTCATTTTATTTTTTGGGGCAAGGCAACCCTTGGTTGACCTCACAGATTACAAGGACCTTGTCAGCTTACAATCTCTTATTTTTTCTTTTTTACACCTACAGCACCTGGTCTTCCCAGGTGGTCTCCCATCCAAATACTAATCAGGCCAGACCTGCTTAGCTTCTGAGATAAGACGGCATCAGGCTTGTTCAGTGTGTAGAATATTTTCACAGTTCCAAAGTCAAAATTAAAAAAGAGGGTACATTCAGAGGGGTCCAGCTTGTATCATGGTTGCCGATTCTGTCTCTCCATCTTTCATAGGTAACTTACTTTAAAAAATTTTTGATTTCGCCTTCTATATTTTTGAAATATGAACATGTGTAATTTGTAATTCCCTTTTATTCTTTTACGTAAGGACACACGCTAAACATTGTTCTGCACTGTTTTTAAACTTACATCTCGTTGTCAGTCGGTGACAGGACATAGAGATCTTTCTTGTTCCTTTTTACAGTCGTGTGGGACTCAGGTGAGCGGATGTACCGTAGAAATTCAACCAGTTCTCAGTGATGTACATTTTGGTTATTTCCACTCTTTTGCTATTACAAATAGTGCTGTCACGAAGAGCCTTGTGTGCGCATCTTTTTCGTAAGGAAGCGTTCTGAATGCGGCATTGTGACCTGATGGGATTTACATTTTAGAGAGTCTTTCTGTGAACGGGAGACAGTGTGACTTGGCTGGGAGGCCAGGGACAGGCTGGGGCCAGGACCGGGGTGAGGCTTCGAGGGTCTGGAGCACAGATCAATGACATCTTCTGGAAGTAGATTTCACACGGCTGAGTCCGCCCGGTGGGGTGGATGACGCTGACGTGGCCGTGGGGGCCTCCGGGAGCGGTGGGTCCGCCCATCGTGGGGGAGGTGAAATGGGCGTGGACCCCGGAACCCCGCCTCAGCCGCGTCCTCTGCACCCCTGTCGAGTCTGGGCAGCTGAAGGAGGTGAAGGCGTCGGAACAGAGCCTGCGCGCACAGCTGAGGACTCTGAACAGCGAGCTCGCCGCCTAAGAAAGGGGATAAGGGGCGGGGCCTGGGGTGGGCGGGGCCTCAGCTGCGGACTCCGCGGGCAGGTGGGCTGGGGCAGGCTGGGCAGGGCCTACAGGGGAGCGGGCGGGGTCTGAGTGACAGGACGGGGCCTGTGCAGGATGGAGGTGGGCGAGTCAGGGGCGAGGGTACAAGGGAGAAGGGGCTAAGTGCAGACAGGAGGCTCCCACAGTGGGGAGTGGTGGGCGGGGTCTGTGGGCCGTGGTGGGCGGGGCCTGTGGAGAGAGGCGCCGGGCTTGAGGCCGCTGCATCAGGAGGTGGGGCCCGGATGTGGGGACCAGGAAAAGGGGCGGGGCCTGAGGGTCTCGTGGAGCGAAAGGGCGCAGAGCAGCTGACGAAGATCTGGGTGACGTGCGCTGATTGTTTACTGCGGTGGGAAATTGGGGAGTTTCAGGGAGCTTTGGGAGACCTGGGAAGAATGCCCCAGTGAAGGGGG